ATTAAGGAGGACAGACAGAACCTAGAAGGAGCAGTGAAAAGAGAGATTGGTCTGATTCAGGGTCAGAGGTCAGGGCTTATTGATCAGGATTACCAGTAGAGCATGCATTAAAAGTGAGGAGTTGACCATTTGTGAAAAAAAGAGAAAGGATTCGGCATTGTTCCATGTTGTGCCACACTTCACATTTGTGAACATGCCTGTGTTAACCCCCACTGTGCCTTGCTCACTTCCTGAAACCTGCTGTTTTCTTTGACCAAAGTTCACTTTGCTGGAAAGGGAGGGAGGGGGGAGGAAAGAGGGGATGAAAGAAGGGGAAACCAAAAGAAGGAGAAATTCAAAGAGTGGGCAGGTGGGAAGAGAGCATCCAAAGAGAATAATGCCAGGTCGTGGGGATAAGAAGTGTTTGCTGTACTATGATAATCACAGTCTCTTTAAAACATGCCCTGACTATAGAATCACAGGTTTTGTAGCAACAACCTCAAGGCAGGACAGCTAACAAACAAAACTGCTACACACTCTACTATCTTTAGCTCTGGAAGTGTGTGTAAGTGTGTGTGTGTGTGTGGGGGGGGGGTGTAATTTCAAATGTCCTTTGTCTTCTGAGGGGTCTTTGCACTATGTGATACAATCAGTCTTGCTCCCCACATGGCTTTTCTTTATATGCATGAAACAAAACACAGGCCAACCTATGTTCTTTATTGTTCCCTATGCAGTCTATTTATCGCGAGAGCACTCTCTTTACAGCGCTTTGACAAGGAATAACTGGGTGATCCAAGGTTATTTCACCAAATGACAAAGCACAAAATCATCTTTTATTTAGTCACCATATGTTTGTGTCCTAATGAGACACTTGAGCAGATGTGCGCTTGTGATCAGCTCACATGCTGCTGTGGTGTCATGCAAAGATGACACTCCTATGTTGTGCATGAAGGTAGTGACCCTACTTTTTGGCCCTTGTCCTTTAGAATCTGTGCACACCTGAACCAAAAATTAAGTGCTTTGCGTTTTCAGAGCCACAGGGTCATCGTATCATAGCAGCACTGTCCAGTGAAAACTATGTAGCTTTAATTTTTTTTAGAAAAACTGAAGGATGAAGTGTTTTCCTTTATGGGTTCAGAAGAATGTCCTACTTGGTAAGCTAAATAAACCGTTTAAAAAGCCATCGGATTATCTGAATTATGCATTGTCGCAAAGCTGAAAACAGATTTTTTTTTCTTAGTTTGTGACCTTTTGGAGATGTGGTTTTCACTGGACAGCGTTGATAGGTGACATTATATGCTATTATTCAGATGGATATCAGCCAAGACAATCTCTTCAAAAACACACGTGTCACATGTCACGTCAATCAATATTATTAATTTATCAGCTCAGATCATAGACTCCAGTTTAGTTACAATCCATCTATTGATCACCCAGATATTCCTCATCATTTAAGGACTGCCGATATGCAGTCTAAATACTATTCCCTGTCCTGTTACAGCACTAGTGTAGTGAAATGCTATGTTTTGTTACTTTCTTGTTTTGTTTGTGTGAAAGTCATGATGTTTACTTTTTATATTACTTCTCACCTCTGTATATGTATTAGTTTTTGTTCATCTTTCAGCTTGGTTATGAACTAGTGGTAGCAGCGGTAGGTTATTTTATGTAAAGTTAAAAACTGCAAAATGCCTCCAGAAATCTGGGAGTTTTGAGGACTTTTGTTGCTCTTGTTTTTCATTGTTTCATGTGTTCCTTTTATTAATGTTATTTTTATTTTTTGTAAGGAAATCCACTTCCTGGGTTAAATACATTGAATGTGGATTGACTCAACTCCTGTTTAGGCAATATAAATGTTTTTATATTGTGCAACTAGAAGCTCATTTCATTTTTGTTTTGTTTTACATTTAGTGCACTCAACGGTTTTATTATAACTATTATAACCAAGAAAAATCTTTTGTTTATTTGTGCTTTTCTCAGTCTGACTTATTAAGAAGAATTTTAATGAGCTTTACATGAGCTAAAACACGGTTATTATTTTTTTTCCATTGAGAGCCATGTGTTTGTAACATTTTAAAGGAGTAAAGAAATGTTCTTGCCAAAATTTAATGGTTGACATTAAAATAAAGAAGTGAATTAAAAGCTCAGACTTGATGACAGGACCCTGGTCTGACAGGCTACAGGGAGGTTATACAATTTTAAAAGAACTGCTTAAGGAACTGCTATAGCTGCAATGCAACACGTTTGTCAAGTTTCCTACAGCCTCATTAACAAAAACCCACAATAGGCTCAGGGTGCAACAAAAAACAATGCAGGATTAGGACATTTTGATACTACATGGAAGGACTTAATTGGGTTGACCTAAGGTCAGAAAATGTACTTTCTCGTTGGAAGGCATTGTTCATTTTCTCCTACAGAGATTTGGGAGACTGGGGAGAAAAGCTTAAATGTTTCCCTTTTTCTCAGAGCACACTGATCCTGCAAAGTCAGCTGGCCTTGTGACTCTGTGCTTAATTAGTTCAAGAATGTGGAAAAAATACTTTCTGTCTGAGGGCACCTTCAGTGTGATACGTGTTGGATTTTTGTGACTGAGTTTGATAGTGTTATGTTGAAAGGTCCAGCAGATGCGACACAGTAGTAAAGTGGCATTAAAGACTTTGGATGAGGAGGTGAAGTGGGGTGGGGGGACAGAGGAAGGCACTAGAACATGAGGGAGTATAAAGCGGGTTATGGCATATACATGTTGGTGAAAGTTGTCATATTCACAGGAACTCACAGTGGCTGTTATGTTTCTATGAAGCTGAGTCATTCTTGGGGTCCCTAAAAGTTTAGGGACCCCAAAAATACAGAGCAGGAAGTTTTAGCTTTGATTCAAGCAGTGTAGGTGGTGGTGCGATCTGCATTTTCAAAATAAGATCAGTGGGAACTGACAGAGCGTTGGGTAGGAACCAATATGAGAGGTGAGATGTAGGTGGACAGTCAGAGAAAGTACAGTTTGGGATGATGTAGCCCGTGCTTTCTGTAGGTTTTTGGAAATCTGTAAGTCATGAATTAATTGGTTATGCCGGTACTAGAGCTAGACAACGGCCGTTCAAGCTGTTTCTCAGATAAATCTTAGAAACAGCACCACCCGCGGGTGGTCTCCTGAAATCTGCCATATCTGTAGAAACTGGCACAACTCTTGGTCAACCCTAAACAATCTATGTGTATGGATTTGTACTCAGGTTAAGAAACAATGAGGGATTGCTTGTAAGTGACATGTCAAATTTAGGATATTTACCACAGCGTACCACCCCGTCCCCATCACACCCACACAGTGTATCAATGTACCATTATTTACAATGGTTAGCCATGTAAACAACTTAGTTGATACTCCATCACTCATTTTTCTTAATGCAGGCATTAAGGCATAAAAAAAAGAATAAACCACAGACATTTTCTTTCTTTCTTTCTTTCTTTCTTTCTTTTTTTTTTTTTTACCTAAACTGTTCTTTCGTTTAAGTTATTTATACTTTGGTTTTATTTAGAGATCCAAAGAAGAACTCTGTGATATTTAGTGGCTTGTACACACTCCCCAAGTTCCTCCTTGTGTGATCTGTCTTTCCCTCCGTTTTAGGGTTGAGCTTGTCCTCTCAGAGGAATCCAAAATATGAGATATTCAATTTAAAATGTTGGATGTTTTTCATAATAAACATGTATGAATTCTTGCACCAGCGTTTTCACTTTGCCTGACCTCCTGTTAGCGTGGAACAACTTTTACAATTCTTATGACGTTGCCTTTATAATTCTTACAACGTCGACGTCAGCAGTCTAATCAGCCAGAATAAGTCCAAACACCTGTGTGAGTCTGCAGGGTCAACAGGCCGTTTTCACAGCTGACATTCTCACTCGTCAAACATTGGCTCCCAGTAAGCCAGGACAGTGAGACAGCAAGCACAACCAGAATCCAGCCACAATTTGTTTTCTTATGTACACCTGAGCTTTCCATACTGTGACAAGTGTCAGAGGCATTTCCATATTAAATCAAACTTTTTGGAATAGACAGTACAATTTTTTTGTTCAGGTGAGGAAATTGGAACTAGATTACAGTGAAGAAATAATCCCCAATAAAACTGTTGACATCTCTGTCTTTTGGATTGTCCTTGGAGGACATTGCATGAGTTTCTGGAGAGAGATGCTTCAAGCGCCACAAATGAACTCCTATTTGCCAGCATTGTTTTGGGGTGGTGGCAGACCTTTCAGAGACAGATAGTATCTCAAAACCTGGATACATGAAATCCAAATTATCTGCATGGCTAGATACTGCTGCTGAGTGAACTGACCTGTTAAGGTGATTATTAAAGCCGTCACTGGAGAAGCTAGTCTGTGAATTTGCAAATTCAGAAATCCAGCAAAATAAAAACTAAACTAAGCTGCATGATACAGAAATACAAAATAGTCCATCTGTGTTAATATGGCTGTAGTCTTACTGGCAGTAAGTAGCCTAATCCGTAATAATAGACAGTGGAGTGTTTAAGGACACCATTCATTTCACAGAGAGAACATTAACATATATTTATACATTAATGTATATATTTTTTTAAACCTAGCCACTAACCCTTGAACTCAGGGAAGCTCAAAGATGGGGATCTGTTTTTGTTTGTTTGTGTTTTGATTTTACTTTTTGTTCCAAAATGTTTTATGTAGAAAACGATGACATTATATCAGGATAGGATAAAATCATAAAACATTTGAAACATCCTTTCAGGTATATAGGTATAGGCTATAATGAACATATAAAGGCAACTGTATAATTAAAAACAATAAAGTTGAAATCAAACAAATTAGGCTAAATAGGCCTAAAGTATGCCTAGCTAACAAATATAAAATAAAGGTCTCTCTGTCCTCACTACAATAGTAAAGTTCAAAGAGTTGTATTGTCACTTGCTTCGTGCTATCAAACTATCGGGGACTCTGTGCAGCCGCTTCTCGATCGACTGTGTCAGCTGACCAAGACGTCATCACGTCAACCGAGAATGTGCGTCGAACACAGGAAGTTGAATTATCAGCTGATGCTGCTGGCTGTTGTTGATGCCTGAAGTTGCTGTTGTTTGGACACTGTGTTGCTCTTATCTGCTCCTGACATTGAAGACGCATTGCACCCGATAAAGGGACCCGGCGGGCATTTAGCGGCTGTCGAGCGTATGGGTAATAAGGGAAGCGTCTCACAGAGAGGACTTTGAATTAGCGCACTAGCGGCAGAAGAAGAGCTAACTGTTAGCTCCAGGAGCTCGAACCATCGGTAGAAGAGGAGAGAGAAAAACAGCACAACACAGGCGACGGCTTTGGCGTGCTTTCTTTGTTTGTGTCGTGCCAGTCTGAACCGCGACATCATTTCTTCTTTGTCTTGAATTGAGGTTGTTGTTTTTCCCCCTGCACGTACGTTATTTATATTTATACTTTAGTTCCCATTACGCGGAGGGCAGCTAGCTCGTCGGCTAACGGTAGCTATCGCAGCGCAGAGGAACAGTGTTGTTGTTGTTGAGCCTGGAGGCTTTCGTAACCGCCCGACAGCGGCAGATAACGGCGGCTAACAGCGACCAGAGCCGGCTGTGTGGTGGGCTCATTGTCCTGGCTGTGTGTCACTGGTGCTCTGTTGGTCTGTGGGAGACACTGGACACAACACTGTAGCCCAACAAGTTGATGTTGGCTCGTTAAATTGAAGACCTGATCTGTTTGTTTGTTCCTGACCTCGAATCGACTGAATTCATTAGTTTTTTTAATTTTTTTTATCCTTATCGATTTAAAAGCACACAAACAAGTAATAGGTTAACTGACAGCTGGCCTTGTACGTTGTAGGTTGGCTGGCAGGTTGCGTAATTTGTTTGCGATCAAGCTGTCAGTCTTTGCTGTGTAACTTTTTAAACTGTTATTTAAAACCTATGTATCTCTGTAAGCCTTAGGTGATCGGTGTGTTCAGCCTTAGGTAGAGTTGTGGATGTCGTTTTAGGTATTTAATCCATTTTATCTGGTACCGTTTTAATGTCTAGAACATATGACAGTGGCCACTCTTGACTGTGATCAACTGATTCAGTAGCTGTTTGAGGCTCACACTCATGAGTTTGGTCGCTTTAGAAAAATAAGTAGATAGAGTTATGAATTAAAGTAGCCATCTGAAACTCTTGTGATCAGGGAGAGACAGGCGAACAGAAAGGGTCCCTCAGAGGGTCCCATTGTGTCTTGAGGTGAGCTGCCCCCAACTACTTGCCAATGCTGGATCTGGAGGTGGTGCCTGAGAGATCACTAGGAAATGAACAATGGGAATTCGCCTTAGGTGGGTTTTACGGCAACTTTTTCAGCTTATAAGAACATCACTTACACTGATAGAGAATACAAGCCATTCATTAATGGTTGAAGCTACATTTAAAATGATTTTCACTTGCATGTTATTGGTCACTGTTAGTGGCTGAGGCTCCGTAAGAAATACTGTTGCTTCTCTTCATCTGTCTGTCTGTGTGTGTGTGTGTGTGTGTGTGTGTGTGTGTGTGTGTGTGTGTGTGTGTGTGTGTGTGTGTGTGTTTTTTAGGGATGCCATTGGCCCAGGCCATCTCTATTCTGCAGAAACACTGCCGCATTATCAAAAATGTCCAGGTGCTATACAGTGAACAGGTAAGATGGCCAAATGGCTGTCCTTGTTATGTGCTCTTTTCCACTCTCACACACGTAAATGTTAATAAGCTTGTTCAAGAATCCCTTTTTAAGCAGCAGTGCAAGGTTTGCATGTTTTTCTGTGTGGCAGCTGTAAGTCCAGTTGCTTTACAACCCTGAATATTAATATCGTTTTTAGTTACATTTCTCTATATTGGCTTGTCACAGATAAATCGGTATATGTTTGAGAATAGAGGTATAGAAATAGTGTCCACCAGAGAGCCCTGAGATTAATTTCCAAGCATAAAGTGTCAGCACTTATTTAAAAAAAATATTAAAGGTCTTAATCAGAAAAATTTGTTTTTTAACATTTTTTATCTTGCGTATATATAAAGTGTATATAGGCTGATATATCGGTATCTGATTTTTAAAAACCCAGACATCAGCTGCATAAATCCACTATCAGTTGGGCTGTATTTAAATTCTTTCCCCAGGTTCAGTAGCTATAAATACAGTCAGAGAGGGAGGTAGGTTTTAAAGCACCATAAATCTTAGATTGAAGATTTATTTGAGAGCAACTGTAATCAGTTGTTCATGTTAACATAAATAACACCAAATAAAACTAGCATGAAACAGTAAATTATTTGTCTTGTTTGTAATATATGTGCACTGTGTGCCTTGTTTCTCTTAAATTCGCCCACTGATTCTCATTGTCTGCATATCCGTTCATGATGACACATCCCGTCGCCTCTCTGTTAATTAACTTGTTTGTTTATCTCCCCACCAGACGCCACTCAGTCATGACCTCATACTGAATTTGACTCAGGATGGGATTAAACTGCTGTTTGATGCCACAAACCAGAGACTCAAGGTGAAAATTGTTCGTGTTTAGGAGTTTGCTGGTGGCTTGATGTGATAGAAAGACTGTCAGTGGGTAGCAGAACCTGTGGTGGGCAGACTCAAGCTCAAAGAGACCCAAAGGCCCAGTGTGTAACATTTAGGAGGATCTATTGGCAGAAATGGAATATGATATTCATTAGTGTATAATCACTAGAATATAAGAATCGTTGTGCTTTTGTTTAGTTAGAATGAGCTGTTTTTATCTAGAGAGGGAGAGGGTCCTCTTCCACAGAGACCGCCATGTTTCTATAGTAGCCCTGAATGATCACTGGCTCTAGTTAGGGCCTTTCATGAGTGGCCACCTTAGGGCCTGGCCTCACAAATAAGTTTTTCTCGAATCCGGATAAATACGATACAAAAGATGATTGTGGTGTTTCTCTGCAGTTATTTAATAGCAGCAGTATACCAAAGTTGCAAAATTTCCCCCCATTTCTAGATAATGGACAGATATTTGACTCCTGTGGCCTTGTTAATGACATTTAACTAACAATTTGTTTTGTACCCTTTGTACCCTATCTTTATCCATCTTTCTTGGTGACAGGTGATTGAAGTGTATGACCTGAGCAAAGTCAAGTTGAAATACTGGTGAGTAGAAATATAAAATACCAGAATTAAGTCAAGGGGTTTTACACACCTGTTGAATAACAACTGATGAAAGGATGAAAACCATCTTAGACTCTCAGCTGTTGTTGTTATGGGGCCCATATGTACAGGCAAGGATCTATATAATGGTCATTGTGTGTACACTGTCTATTTTATGTTGCCACTGAGACTGTTTTCAACTACAAGTCATAGCTCTCTCAGACAGCTACTCAGTGAAATACACCACAGTAATGGAGGCTACCTGCTTTAATGTGTTTCTTAAACTATGTGTGTATGATTGTCTGTTAGTGAAATCCAATTCACTTCTCTGGCAATGTCTCCTCAACTAATGCAACACAGCGTACATAAATGTTAATAGGCATAACACTGGCTGTGTGTGTGTGTATTGTGTTTCAGTGGAGTCCATTTCAACTCTCAGGCCATTGCCCCCACAATAGAGCAAATAGACCAGTCATTTGGAGCTACGCACCCTGGAGGTAGTTTAAAAAGCACAAACACACTCTTGACAAATAAAATGAACCTACATTTTGGTATTACTTATCTCTTTCATGAAATATTCTTTTTCACCCACCCCCTGTCTGTCCAGTTTACAATGCTGCAGAGCAGTTGTTCCATCTCAACTTTCGAGGACTGTCTTTCTCCTTCCAACTGGACTCATGGAACGAAGCTCCAAAATACGAGGTGAGAATGTTTCCCCCGATTTTGCTTGTCAGCGTTCTAAAGAAGGGCTGAGTGGCCGTTTCTTTATGTCCCAGGGGAATAAGGGCAGCCTTGTGAATGAACCGATTACCCTTTATATGGACAGTCTGAGGTCAAGCTCTGTGTTTTTCCTTTAGCATGTCCCTGAATCCCTGTCAGCTTGGTGTTACGTCATCATGATAAATAGTGTGGGATTGAATGAAGAAACCAAATGCATGTTGAGAATGTGATTGTCTCACTGCTTGTTTATACTTGGGCACAAAATATTTTTTTCTTGGATGTTTCTGACAGTTTTCAAAAAGCACCAAGTACGATTTCCAGTGTTGTACTGTTGATATGTCAAAGACTCATTTCAGTGTTATGTAAGCAGTGAAAATCTGAATGCGGCAGGGAGTTGGGGGACTTGGGTTAGCCCCTGCAGCATTAGTTCATAATTCAATTCTCCAAGACAACGCAGACGCCCAGCAGCTTTCAATTTGGATTTTCAAGACAATATGACATGTCCACACAAACCATCTGCAAACTGCATGTTCACACTTCTTTATGATTATATAAAGGCTTTTGCTTTTGTGGCTTTGTTTTTGGATTAGTCCGAAGCTCAGTGGATGTTTTACTGTCTGTACTGTACAGCTGTGGATTTCTTGGGTGATGCACGTCTTGAACCAGCTGCTCTGCCGTCGGATCCATTTTGCAGCTTGCTACTGTGAAAGCATCACATACTGATGTCTTTACTGCTCCTTTTCACAAGTTTAGTTCACCTCAGCTGACTTCATATCCCATTTATAAGGTTTTTGCAGCTTATCACATCTTCTTTGGTTTGGCCATTTGGCTGCTTTAACATATATGTGATATGATAGTGACTGTGTTAATTATTTCTTAAACCTTCCAGTCCACCCCGAGCTGCACGTTGAGTTGCCTGAATGGTTTTGTTTGATTTACTGAAACAGCTTGTGCTGGCTTGTCATCTGTAGTTGCAGTGTGCAGGTACAAACATGGAAGTTTCAGCTTCTAGTTGGAGTTATAATATTTGCATTTCTTTGTCTGAAGCTCAACACTTGGCTGCAGTTTGTTTCCTGTTTGTCCTGTAAGATGACAGATGGATGCGTCTGAGATTCGTTGTGAGCTGAGTGGATTTTTAGATCAAACTGCTAGTGTACAGAGAATAAATTAAAGACCCTGAAAGGTTTATATTGCATTATGTTCAGAACACATTCAGACCCCTTTGCTTTTTCCACATTCAACGTCTGAATTTGTAACTATCACAACATTGTAACTCATAATCCCTTATATGGTGGATACTGTATATTGTGGGGTTTTTTTTTCACCCTTTCCATTGAACTAAATTAATTCTGAAAACGTTAATGCCAAATGTCTTGAAATCTTCAAGGCAAATAAACTGTATAATACTACGGATAACTTTCTGTAAACTCCTTAAACCCTTTGCTTTTATTTAATTTAAGAATGACTCATGCAGATGTTTTGCTAGGTGGTGATGAGTGCAACTTGGAAATGCACATAAAGAAATCAGAAACAAAATGAAGTAACCTGCTGAGTCACAATGAGTTTTGATTAGATACTGGACCTCTCCCAGATAAAAAAAAAGTTGCTACCTGACAGAGATCCAAGTTGGATTAAAATGTAGTCTCACCACCAATCAGTGCTGTTTAGGTCAGTCAGTGCGTTATGAGGTCTCCACTCCACAGTGCTTTATCATAAATTATCACATCTTTCTGTACTTCTGGGAAATGTACTGTATATCTATATTTTGTGAAACCTCAATTTGTTGTGCGATGTCTTCTTGATGTGTACAGTTTGTTGATGTGCACACACAAACCCAGTATATACCGGTCTCGTATTACTCCAAGTTGTTTTGCCTTGGCAGCCTAACTTTGCCATGGGTTTGGCCTCCCTGCAGATTCCACACGGGGCCATGGTCAAGAGGATGCACATCTACACTGGCAACAATCTGCAAGAAACAAGGTAATGCACACACACATTCAGATACACAAACACAATCTTTGGAGGACAAACAGCAGTAGATGATCATTGATTAATGGCTATATGATCAGTCATTAGCTCACAGTTTTGATGGTTACTGTTTGATGTAGTTGCTGGTTTATTCTTGTTGTATAGATTAGTGTTTTTTAGAAGATTTTGTGAATATTGTAGCAATGTATCGTATCACTGCCTTTTACCAAACACCATTGCTTGAGATCCTTAAGTTCACACACTAATATGACTTTATGGAGTTTTCACAGTTTTAACACGTGTGTGCAGTAAAAACACAAGAACAAAAATCCATAAGGAACACAAATACAAATCATCAGTAATGAGGGACGCACTCACACACACACACTGTTGTTCTTTCTGTCCTCAGAGCTCCGGTGATGCCGTTGGCTTGTTTCCTTGGTAACATCTTTGCAGAGTGCGTTGACGTCCTGAGAGACCGGGCAGGACCTCTGGGGCTGAAACTCCGCCTCCTCACTGCAGGTAACACATGTCTCTGTGTCTTGAGGACTGCAAACTGGGCTCAACAAGTTTTCCTTGCATGTCTTCATATCAGATTGATTTGCTAGATGTTTGTTTTTCTCTCTTGCAACTAAATATTTTTAAATTGGCAAACATTTTTCTGTCTCTACTTTCATCTTAAACCATTTTTAACCCTCTATTTTAAATAGTGTGAAATGGATAAACAGAGATTTAGCTGCAGCTATCTGACTGGGCAATGTATGTCTAGCTTTATGGTCCATCATTGTCACTGCTATTCTCTGACATGCTGTTTGACTTTGTGTTCTTGTCATTTATCTGGAGATGGAGTGATTTCCTTTCCTGTTGCGTTGTAATGTGTGAGTGCAGGTTGTGGTCCAGGTGTGATGGCTGATTCTAAAGTGAGGTCCCTAGAAAGGAACATCTACTTTGGCGATTCCTGTCAGGATGTACTGGGTGCTCTGGGCTCGCCACATAAAGTATTTTACAAGTCTGAGGACAAGGTAGGAAAACTGTTCCTTTCAGGGTTTTTATTTCTTGTTGTTAGAACTACCTGTATTATTTTCACTAAGCTCTGCTCGTCCTATGTTGATCTACATTCTATCTTCTATCACTCTGACTGCTCAGCATTCATCAGGTGACCAGAAACACAACTGCAGATAGATGCAAATGCTTCTCCATATCTGCCGAAGTTGAAAATATTTAATTGTGGCATTAATCTTGAAGATTATCGATTCTCTGTATCGTTCTTTATTTTAGATGAAGATCCACTCTCCATCACCTCACAAGCAGGTTCCTTCTAAATGTAACGACTACTTCTTCAACTACTTCACCCTCGGAGTGGTATGTAAGCTCATATTTATGTTTATGAGGTTGTATTCTTTTGAGATTGTGCTTTTGGCTGAGCCAGGCCCTACATAGGTGATAGTCCAGGACTTACATTTTTTGATGGTGGTCAACAAGCGATGCTGCTTCTCAGCTCTTTTCTAATCACATACACAGCTGTAAAGTAGGCTGCATGAAAGTATTCATTACAGGACTGTGGGATTGCATGAAATAGGAATTTCTGTTGTTTTGGTCACTTAGTTTTCAATCATAGGCCACAAACTATCCTTCTTTAATTGGTGTTTTTTTGGACCACCGTTCAGATCCTCTGAACAAGAGGCTTGAGCTTGTCTGCGTCTGCTCGGTGGCCAGCTGGCAACAAAGATGGGTGGATGTGGGGGAGTGATCCTGCCTCTATCTGCATTTACTCGCCCCGCTGTTTGCAGTAGATAGGACTGTAGTGAGCTGGTCTGGGCAAACATGGTGCAAAAGCAAACTTAAAGTATTGTCTTTTCTTATTTTTCAGGATATCCTGTTTGACTCTACAAGTCACCTGGTTAAGAAGTTTGTCCTCCATACCAACTTCCCCGGACATTACAACTTCAATATGTAAATATCTAGTTACTTGTTTTCTTTCTTTCTTTCTTCCTTTACCCAGTTTTTCCTCCATCACGGCTGACAATACTGCATCATCTGTGTGTAATTATCTACATTGTTACGACCGGCTTGCGGGCACCAGCTATGGGGCAAAAACACTGTGACATTTCTGTCCTTAGTTTAATTTTCTGGACTTTTGATTATGTTTCCTCTCTCATCAGATACCATCGATGTGACTTTAAGATTCCACTAGTCATTAAGAAAGGTGAGACAGTTTTCAGTCATGAATGAACCCTGTGTGTTGCCTTTCATCTAATGTCTTTTTCTACGTCTCTCTCTCTGCACTTTAGAAGGAGCCGATTCTCAGATGGAGGACTGCATCTTAACCACCTACAGCAAGGTCAGTTATAGGCAGATCTTTATTGAACTGCGCTTTGTTGAAAGGTCTCTTAGTCTGATGACTGAGTTCAGCTTTCTAATTTTGGACTCTGTACCTCTTTGTAGGATATTACAGAGTTCAGTTTTCTGTTTTTCTCTGCCATTGCCACTTCTAAAATCTGGTCTCTGGATCACTAGTACAGCCTTTGTTTCATGCCATGAAACTTGGATAATGTGACATCTGTTTCAGACTGTGGCTGCAGTTATCTTCTGATGTTGCCACAGAGGAAGTCATATAATAAAAGTCTTGTGATATCACTTTTATCCACTAAAAGTATCCCAGAATTTCCCTAAATTTGTTTTAAAAAATTGTTATGGAGATGATTATTTTGTGAAAACAGGATAGTTTGATTATTTGATCTTTACTTTAGCAACGACACTTTGATTTACAGTCTCTGTCTCCTTCACTACACAGTGTGTCTGAATGTATTCCGCCAATGGAAACAGCAGCACTATCACCTGGATGCTAATACAACCACAGCCTTGTTGCTGTTTCCCTAATCAACCTTTTTATACAGTTCTCATGACCTTGTGGTACAGGTCAGTGTTGGCAGTGGATAAACATGCTGCTAACTTTTTGTTTCTCTGTCAGTGGGATCAGATTCAGGAACTGCTGGGTCACCCGATGGAAAAGCCTGTAGTGCTGCACAGGTACACACACACACACACACACACACAACATTACATTGCTATTTTAAGTACAAGATTTTTATAAATAACTTTTATCCAAGTGAGTGCCCTTTCTGACATCGGGTGTTTGTGTTTGACAGGTCCTCATCAGCCAATAACACCAACCCCTTCGGCTCTACCTTCTGCTTTGGACTGCAGAGGATGATCTTTGAGGTCCGAACACGTATCTCTGTAGCTTTTGCTGGCATTGGAGTGTGGACAATATGTGTATAGTTAACATAGTTGCATTGGTTGTCTGAAGGGCTCATTTATAACTGTAACCATTTTCCAAAGTTGGTCTTTGTTCTTTCATTGCCATTATGTCTAAAATGTACCCCGCATTAAATAGAAATTCTGAAGCTTGTACTTCTAGCAACAGTGTGTCTCTTTCTCAAAGGAAATTACACAATTTTGTTCACAATCGTGATTTAAATTTTTCTTCATTTTACTCCATTAATATTTTCCACACAAAAGCCTTGAGAATGGATCCATTGTCTGAATATTTCAGAATATTTCAAATGCGTACTTTAATGTGTGATCCAGTCCACTCTAACACACTTTCTGTCTGCGTCTTCCTCAGGTGATGCAGAATAACCACATAGCATCAGTGACCCTCTATGGTGCCCCACGGACCGCCAGTCAAGCTCGACCTGAGTCTAGTAGTAGTTCCCACTGAGCAAGTAACCAGAACCACATCCCATTCTGGCCTGTCCTGAATCTAGTACCTCTACTGACTGAACCTCTAACCCAGAGCCAGATTCTTAACCAAGCAGACCTAACCCAGAGCAACAAAGTTATTCTTAGCCCAGCTCAGACGCTACTCGTTCAACAGAAACACAACCAGAACTCAGAATAAATAAATCAGCTTCTCCTGGTGCGTCCTGAGACTTGAGACTCTTCCAATCGGACACGCCCAGTCGGCACAGTTAACCCAACCCAGACTACACAAGGAACCAGGACCTTGTAATGTGGCCACAGTGTAGGAGCACTAATGCTTTTGAAAGGATTTCTTGGTTGTGCGGGAATATCACGGAGGTGCTGCAGACTGACATGGTGAAGAATCCAACGGTTTTCTGTTTCCATGACTGCATTTGCCAAGGACCACAGAAGAAGATTTGTTTGTTGGCAGCCTGTATATGACAAGAACCAAGATGATCAGCAATTAAATATCATCTGCAACAAATCAGTGTTTAGTTTTTCACAATTGCTAAGACAAAGCTACAACCCCTTTCTCTTCTGGCAAAATCAACATTTTTTATCACCACATCAAAAAATAGAAAACAGTGTTCATGGCATGAAGCGGAAAAACATTGTTATTGAGTATGTTACATAAATGCATTTTGCATGTATATTCACAACTCAGTACAGAACATATTACATACTGTAAGAACTGCAGGTATTCCAGTGCTGTAATGCAGATGAGAAATTCATTCTGCCTCAGCATCACGTCTTTTGTGTTTGCTCAAGCCAGATGACTTTGTCTACATCACAGGCGATGTTGCCAGGCAACGGGGGAAGAACCCTCTGGTGTGCTGGATCCAGCCTCGACAAGACTCCACACCTCGAGTGAATGATTGGATAAAGGGGTCTGGGGCTCTGAGCGTTTGGTTCAGAGAATGGGGTCAGGTGTTTTTAGCAATTGTGAAAAACTGAAACGTCAGACATAAAGTTGTGGACTTGACATCATCGCCAATGAAAACTGCTGTGGCCAAAGTCTTGGAACAAACTCTGGTTTGACCCACTGAATACACATCAACCAACCACACTGCCAGCCCAACCAGTACCGCCTGTCTTCCTGCCGCAACTTCAGAACCAGACCCGACTGGCTCAATCAAAACCCGGACGCATCCAAACCGCAAAGAACCAAACCGGCCCAGTCCAACCAAGAGCCATCAGAGCCAAACACATTGGAAGCTGCAGAGGACTGTAACCAAAAACGGAAAAACATGCAAGTCCAGATTTTGTCCTACAAGAGAGGAAAACCAAACGCACTCAGGGTTTGGAGATATGTGTGGGCCCAGAACACGCCCACAGCGCCAGGGTGACGAGATATGACGCCTCTCAAAGCCGAACGATCCAAACATCCAGCATCAGCTCCCTTCCTACTCACTCTTCCTCCACCTTTCTTCAGTGGTACCCCCCCCACACACACCCTCCCCTACACACACACACACACACACACACACTGAAGCACACAGCAGTAAATACTCTATTAACCCCACAGCTGTTGTTATTTGCAGCTCTGGACATTGGCATGTCTGTGTCCTGGCTTACACACACACACACACACACACACACACACACACACACATACTCTGCATGTGTCTCTGCTGATTTTTTTAATTGACATTTCAACAGACTTTCAATTCAAGCACACACACACAGACAGCATTTCAATCCCTTCACTACAATACTCACATGTATTTCTAATACATGACAGTGGTTTATCTTTTTAGCCTTTTCTAAGGGTGATAAAACATGGAAACATGCAGGCATGACACAAGGATTTGCATGAACTTGGCAGACGTTTTTTGAATGAGAGGAGACCTATTACAAGCACAAACTGGCATCCTGTTCTGTTTATTTGGTCCTGCATGTTGTAAGGGGACTTGGCACACAGTTTTCTTTTATTTCTCTCTGCTCTGCTTGACTCATTCACACCATGACCATTCATTATGTTTTTTTTTTTTTTTTGTTTGTTTTTTCAAACAGTTTTTACATTTGCACTAATACACACCTTTTTACTTGATTGGTTGACTGAGCCCTATCCTCAGAGATGGATTTGTGGAGATATTTGGAGAGATAGTGGTGTGTGTGAATGTGTCTTTTTATCCATAAGTTTGGACAGATGAGAAGCCCCCCCCCATTGGTGTATGCAGTCATGTAACACTCTCCTCCTCCTTTCCTCTGCTCTTTCTCCATCTCTGCATCTGATTGATGCATTGCGATTCATCCCTCGGCAGTGTCTGTATTCATTTCTTTGTTGAATTGCCAAATGCTACAGCCAAAGACGTTTCAGGATGATTTCATTTGACATTATCACTGTCATCTCTTGTCCAAACCTGTCCCATGGAGAGAGTCGTGTTTCTCTGGCATCTTTTGTTTCAGATCTGCACATCAAAGTCTTTGCCGTGGTAAAGCCTCTAAATTCAGCTCCTTGTTTCTGTAACTGCTGACAGTAATTACACAAGATGTGAATAGCTGAGTGTTTTGAAACCAATCAGCCTGTCTTTCATGTGGATTTGGTTACAGCCAGACACACAATAACAACAGTAACAAGTAGTGCCGTCCTTCTTGTGAGTGTCTCGGTGGTTATTAGAGAGCTGTAATTAAAAGAATTACCATTATTTCTCTGTACACTCAGTACATTTAAACCCATTTTAGAAATGGGGGAAAAACCCATCAGTCATTCCTTCATCCTAACGTTTGTTTGCATCTCCCTCCCAATGTATGAATTTCAAATCTTTTTAACCATAAGCATTTGAATAAACTGTGTATTCATTTTAATACACATATTTTCCTTTATTGTCCCTTGAAACAAATGCCATTTGTTTTTTACTTTCACTATTGCTGAACTTCTGATTGTTTGTAGCAACGTGTGTGAAGGCATCAGGGTTGAAGTCAGGGCCCGCATACATGGCGAAATGTTTAAAGTGCTGACTGGAAAATTGCCACATTGGCTGTGTGTAGGTCGTTTGCAAAAACACAATTTGGGTTGACTGGGTGAAATGTGTTTTTTTTTGTTTTGTTTTTTTCTGTAAAGCTGGGGTTCACCGAGCAGTTTAAAGTGAGCTTTGACATTCAAACTTGCTTCACTGGTGTTTTATTTTGTATGTTTTCATTACTAGGTACTAGCACCCTGTTCTTTAACAACCCAACTGACTAAATTGACTAATTGATTGATTTTATCCCTCACTGAAACAAGTAGCATCACAGTGTGAGTGAGCTTGTGACCAGCAACCAACCAACCAACTGTACTTTTAAGCGGTTTTTCAGTTAACACAAAAATAATAGTATGACCTTTTGTTCGTCATAACACTCATTTAAGTGTCTACTTTTCTGATTCATTATAATTCCTAATCACGGGTGCAGTTTTATTTTTTCGTTTACAATTCACCAACAGTAGCCTTTCTTTACCGTACCTTGTTTTTGGCACAGCATGGCTCTGAACTTCAGCACTGTTAAAACCCACTTCCTGTGGTTTATGACTGTACAAACAACCAGGTGAAGACCACTTTCAAGAGCAGTTGTAGAAATGAATTCCTCTGTTGTTTAAATCCAGTTAGCCAGGCTGTTCTGGAAAATAATTCAGTGTGTATTCGGGCCCTGATGCTTGGAGTTGATGTTGATGTACAAATGCTGTAAATAGTTGTGTGCTCTTATTCTGGTGTCCTCTTATTTACATGAGCTCAATGGCTTGGCACAGACACAGCTGACTCAGGCACTGGCTGAGTATCTCAATATTTCCTCCTTGATTCTGATTAGACTTTAAAGTCAGGAGGAGGCATCTGCTCACATCCCACTCATTAACAATCACTGGAAGTGTTTTTTGTTTTGTTTTTCAATTGCAGACCACTCAGTATTGAAACTTGTGCAATGCTAAAGGCTGCAAGTACACAGGCGTGACGGGTGTCAGTAGATCACCCTGCTTCAGCTCCGCTTGAACTGCTACTGCAGGGTGTTTGATCCTCAGAAAGAGCAAAGCTTCATTTACACAGACAGAGAAAACAAAGATCCTTCCTCACATTTGGACTGGAGGAGAGCTCTGATAGAGATGTTTTTGTAGAGTGGACAGAACCTGATTCGGAGTCTAGCATTGGCATGTTGCTAGATTATACGTCTACTTGTTTACACTATAAAAAGTATCTCTTTGGCTGCAGCGTTCTTGTACTCAGACTCCCTTCCTAAGTGAGGTGAGGTGGTTTCGGGAAGCAGGAGAGATGAAGGTTTTCGCCGTCTGGTTTCTTAAACTGGGATTCCAAAAATGCTAGAGCGGTGTTTGAGGATGAATTCCGACAAACAAACTCATTTTCTCGTTGGGGTCCCAGGTTTAAGATGTTTAATTAGTCCAGCAAAGGTTGATGAACTTGGGAACACAAAGTTCCCTGCTCCTGCTCCGGTTTACACACATCTCGAGCTGAACCCGGAAGCAGATGTAATATAACATGAAAGCTATATTCAAACATCTTCCTACAGCTTGCTTTTGTGCAAGCAAATACGAGAAAATCGAGAAAAAAAGAAAACACAAAACTGTTGAACATTGTGCCTCATCTCCCACCGAGCCTGTCTTTGACTTCTGTCTCTATGTCCTCCGTAAAAAAGGAATCTCCTTGTACATACAATTTGAGAATGCATTTGAACTGCATCATTGTACAGTATGTGTGCGTGTCACTGAGCATTAGCAACAAGCTAACATGGTATTATGGCCGTCTCAGTCGTTTTACTTTTCCTGTTACCTGTAGAGAATGGCAGGTTGGGTTGGGTTTCCCAAAGCTAGGATGCGTTTTTTCAGGGTGTTTTTTTTTAACCAACATTATTTTTTGTACTTTGTTCTGTTTTGTGTGTGTGTGTGTGTGTGTGTGTGTGTGTGTGTGTGTGTGTGTGTGTGTGTGTGTGTGTGTGTGTGTGTGTGTGTCTGTGTCTGTGTCGTGTGTGCGTGTGCGGCGTGTGCGTGTGCGTGCGTGTGCGGTGCGTGTTTATACCAACACCAAACACCCAGAACAATGTGCAAATATCCACAACCCTTAAAAGAGCATCAGAGTTACTGTGGAATACATGATTTAAGCAAAAGAAAACAAAAATATTTTCATTAGAACGAGCAGGAAAAGCATTCTTGGTTTCCACACTCTGCTGAATATGAATGAATTGGTTGCCACCCAAAACCTCTCCGAGCTAACATTGGAAGCAGATGGGTCAAACACGATAGGAAAGAACAGGAGCAGTGGAGGCAGCAGTGAGGGAAGCCAATCAAGTTGCTTCTGCGCAAAAACAGACGTAAATCCTCAATTATTTGGGGGAAACTGAGCCCAGCACAATACACACATTAGATGCAGACAAGAGAAGGAAGAGAGAAAAAAAAAAAAAAAAGATTCTACTCATTGACTCAGTTTTGGTAAGCCCAGCCCGACCCGGCACCACAGGCGGTCAGTGCTGTTATGATGCGTTGTTACTGAGACACAGAGGGACAGAGGAGCTATAGGGTGCTGGGTAGTTAATCTCACCCAAACTCAGGTGGACATATCACATCCTTGTTTTTCTAATCATTTGTAAGATAGAAAAAGAAGTGGAAACTTTAATCCGGAGGTCTGTGTGGCTTTTAAATTCCACCCGTTCTTCTTTTTTTATTTTATTTCATTGAACGCAGGAATGAATGATTGTCATAACCAGATTGTTGTAATTTATAACTGACAGCTTCAGTTCAGTGTAATGATAATCTCATATTAACGCTTTGTATTGTCTGTTCTTGGTATCATATGTTCTGTTGCCCATCTTGCTTATTCTCAGAATATTTTTTGTGGACATTTTAAGCCCATTTCTGGAAATGGAGCAGTTATACTTAATTAAAACTTGTGAAATTCATTGGAATGTGGCGTTTTATATTTTGAATACTATAACTTTGTGTATGAAGAAATAAGTAGATTTATTCAGCATGTCCACTGAAAAAAAGGCAATAACAATACCATGTAGTGCAAAGAGGAGGTTGACTGAAAGCTTTGCTCCAGCAAATTACTTTTGACTGTGTTTGATGACGGTTGTTGAGGTAAGCTACTGCTGTGCCATCTCTAACAACTCCAATGCAACATTTGGACTTTATGAAATCAGATGCTCACTGTTCATTGACATCAAAGTTCATTTTCTGTGTGTGCAACCAGGATATGAAAAAACAATAAAAATGTGGATGTGAAAAAGATTGGGAGGTTTTTATTTCCTCACTTTGCACAACCTCGAAACTCAATTTATTTTGCAAATTTGACGTTTGACTTGAGCTGAACCTCAACATCTGTTTAGTATTAGTGTAAGCCCTGGCAGAATTATATTCCTGTTAGTCACATTGACATGAATAGTTTTGTACTGATCAGGTAGGGAATACCTAGTGTATTCTCTCCTGTGAGATTTTGAGGTATTTTTTTGGTGCTTCTTTTTAAAAAGAAAGGGGAAAAAAATAGTTTTGAGTTTTCCTTAAAAGGTCCAGCATGAAGGATTTAGTGATATCTAGCGGTGTAGTTGCAAATCGAAACTCTGTAGTTTCCCCCTCCCCTTCCAAGCACAAAGGAAAAACTATGTTGCCCACAAAACACATAAAAAATGCGAATGCCACTATCTAGAGCCAGTGTTTGGTTTGTCCCTTCTGGGCTACTGTAGAAACGTGGTGGTCTGTAGATATATATAATTCCTATATTCAGTTGGTTATACGCCATTGAAAAAATACTTATGAATGGATCCTCCTAAATGTTACACACTGGACCTTTAATTACCTCCTTTAAAAATGGGGAAAACACAACATCACAGCCTGGAGCTTATTTATTTAAACTGTCTGCCAACATGTACGTAAATGGCACATCCAGGACATATAAAGTAACCACATCAGTTAATCGTGTATGTCGGCGTAGGAGCTCAGCTACCTCTGTAGCTGTGATGGATGATCATTCCACACACTGTTGTAATTAAACAGTCCAGTGCCCCAGAGCTGAAACTCTGAATTATCCACACTGAACAGACATGACAATACCAGACAGAAGGTCCAGTGTGTAACATTTAAGAGGATCTATTGGCAGAAAAGGAATTTAATATTCATAATTATGTTTCCATTAGTTTACAGTCACCTGAAAATAAGAATTGTGTTTTTGTTTCCTTTAAATTAGCAGTTTTTATCCACAGACGCAGAGGGTCGCCCTCCATGTTGAACCACCATGTTTCTACAGTAGTCCAGGACTGAGCTCTAGATAGGGCCTTTCAATTCTTTTGTGCGTTTCGTTGCCACCTCGCTTGGAAAAGGAAGGTGAAGTGAGGGAACTGCAAACCGTGACTACACCACTAGATGGCACTTAATCCTACACACTGGTCCTTTAAACATTTAAAATCAAATTAGCTTGATGTTTAAAAATGTTTGGACCCACGTGTTGAGTGCAAAATTGAAATGATTAAATTTAAAGTCTGTGCAAGCTGTAATTACATTTTTCATCTATTATCAAATTGGGATAACGTTATCCGTGTCTCAGTTTAGCATGGTAACATTTGTTGTTTAGGGCTAAACTGAAAGTACAGCTGAGGCTGATGGGAATTTCATTGGACAAGTTCATTTTTAAACTTTTGAGGATAGTGCTAAATCAAAAGTCAGGGGATCGCCACAGTTTTACAGTTCCTGAGGGAGTTCATGAATGTCTATCAAGTTTTTATGTTGAAGGTGAAGGGCAGACAAACAGAGAGCAGAGAGCCGTGTTACAATGGAAAAGTCCAGAGCACATGAGCTCGTTGAGCAATCACACAAATACACACAAATGTGTTTATATCGGTCTAAGATCTGAACATGTTTTGCCGTTGGAATGCAGTTGAATAAGTCTGTCAGCATAAATCTACCTTGCAGTATTTTTAACATTTTGAAAACAGATGAGGGTAAAGATACAGAGCGTTGCAGAGGAAAACACATTTCACAAAACAAAATCATTATAATTATAGTGATAACTGTTCACATGAAAGTACACGTCTGGCTTTTCCACAAACATTCACAAGAGGTTCTGTGCACGTGTGTGTGCACGCGCTATGGTCCCAGCTGGTTCCCAGTGTGCAGCTGGTTTCCATTTAGGCTTCATTTGTTGTTCCTCCAGGGAACAGATAATGCGACCGTCCATTTGTGTTTCTATCCAGCGTAAGGAGGGAAGGAAGTGAGGGACATCTCTGCTTGTGAGTCACGATGAGAACACAAAAAGCCTCTGCAGTCTTTCCACTCACGCAGCACACACAGCCACTGGCAGTCCTGGCTGTCCACACAGTCCAACCAAAGTCCCAATATTAACAGTGTTGTGGTCTCAGAAACACACAAGGTTAAACCAGCTAACCACGTTCCTCATGGGTCTTACCGTACCTCTATGTAAACAATTATAAACACAATACATTCTGAAGATTACACATTCAAAAGTCCAGTGAGATTCAAGTCGTCACACAATCTTCTCTGCAAGGTCTTGCTGCGTGGTTGTTCACAAACACAGTATGAACATAAAGATGGGCTCAGATGGCCAAAGCCTAAATTCTCTTTGGCCTTCTTCGCTGAAAAATCTGAAGCACATTTGCCAATTCATTTCCCCACAGAGGATCTGCCAACTTGGACAAAGTCTCACTTTACTCAACTGTGCTTTTTTCACATCGCAAGCCTTTCAAGTTGGCCGCAGATCCTGCTCTATAACCAGAGAGTCACTAATGCGTGACAAACACCTGCTTCTCGCCGTAGTCCGTCTCTTCTCCCTCGGCTTCTCCCACCCTCCCCTTCCACTTAAAGGGCTGGGACGTCGGGCTGGTCCTGTTGTGGCAGATCAGTTTGGGGTCGTGCAGGAGGTTCCACATGAGCCAGATCTGAGGAACACTGAGGCTGTGGACAACCATGAGCTCCCTGTAAAAGCACGGGTCGAACGTCTGAAGGTGGGGCGCTGCAGACGGACGGGGAATTCCGAAAGTCCGAAAGCCCTGGTGGCGAGATGGTTTGATGCCGATCAGCTGGAGGCACATTCCCAGAAAGACATCATCAATGGGGAACAACTCCACCTTGAAATGAAAAAAAAATACTGATAAATGAATCCTAAAAACAGGCATGCTAAAATATTTAAACTGTCCAACTCTGAAGTACCTGTTGACAGGCTGAGCTTAGTCTCCGAGCCGTATGCCCCGACATGACAAACCCTCCTCCTCCAGCGTAATTCGGGTACAAACTCACTCCATAAATAAACTCAGGCACATAGTACTTGGAACTGCGCCGGCGAATGGGTTTAGCGTTGATTATAATATCACCAACAAACAGATCCTCGTCAGGCTTTTGACCTTGTAGCATCTCTAGTATATTCTCCACGTTAACGTACACATCGGCATCACCCTTGAAGATGAACCTGCATGAGAAACAATAACAGGAAAAAGCATCAGATATGAGTCACATGAGAGAATCAGATCAAGTCCTGATTTAGTTTTAGAAACACTGACTTGACATGAGGACAGCTGCTGTTAACCCATTTTAGAAAATGTGTTTCCTTCAGCGTCAAATTGAAAAAGGTGTCGTCAAAGTCCCAGAGCAAGATATCCCTGAAGGTTTGACTCTCGTAGGTCAAGAGCCGGTCCCACAGAGGAAGAGCGGTGCGATTCCTGGGAACCCCCAGCAGGAAAACAGTTCGGATGGATACGCCATTTTGGAAAAGTCCCTCTTTCCCCCATGTCCGACGTACCACCTAAAGATAATTAAATGTAGAGAGAAAGAGACTATTTTTAAGTAACTGATTGAGTGAATACAATTTTAGGTTGAACCTGTATCAATAGATTTTTTGCCCACTTGGGGGGCAACAATTACTTATTTAGACACAGTCCAACATTAGTATTCATAATATTCATTTTAGATGAGTTGTGTGTTTATTATTTAGGGACAATATTCGGTCCCATGAGGACTTTTTGGGGGATTGTTGCTGCCTAAAATGCCTGATTTCATGGCAATGCATGGTGCAATGTTAGTAGGCATTGCAAAGACATTGTGGGACAAAGTTGTTGAGGTATTTCTTTGCTTTTTCAAAGATTAATTAAAAGTCCAAGGCAGCTTGATCCAGTAAGAATAAAATTGCACAGTTTGAAGGGTAAATGTGAGCCATTGGCATTGCACATGTCTGCATGGTCTGGCATCTTCACAACTAGAAACAAGGAAGTGAGTTTGGTGACGTATGGCTCAACGTTTTGAATAGGAAACTATAATAAACTACAATTATTGATCAAATTTGTGGAAAAATTGCAATGATTGGACAGAATCAGTGCCTGAAATGGTCCAGTACTCACCAGTACTGAGCACCAGCAATTTAGTCCACCTTATTTCTTAATGAGTACTTCCTGGAGGGACTGAATATCTCTCTCCTTTTAGCTCTGGTTTTGGTCTCCACCATCCATTGTTACTACAAAATTATAGCAGCTTTAAACTTTAAAGCATCTGTTATGAAAATAAAATACAGCCAAATTTCTGTACTGAGTCACAGCTAATTTCACAAAACTAACGTGTTTGTTTTGGCAAAGGCCGTCACACAGCACGACATATTTTACCTGACGTTTGTCAAAATCTGCAGCGATAGATTTCACGGCAATAAGCATGTAGGGAGCAGCTTCTTCCTCTGCTCCTGCAATGTGACATTTCTCTGGCTGGTCAATGAGCAGCTTAAAGTCTCTGTTGTCCTTTTCTCTCAGATAGCCCTCAAAGTCAAATGGTGGCATCGTTGGCAGGGGCTTGCCAGTGGTCTTAGTGGGCGCAACATTCTTCTGACGCGACTTGGATTTCCCCTTAGATCTGGCCTGAGGTTTGGACTTGGGCTGAGGAGGTTTAGACTTGGACTGGGGCTTGCAGGGAGGCAGCTGTGGTTCTGAAGGGCTGGATAGGAACTGCTAATTAGGAGAAATGACACGAGACAGAAGACAGAACATTTAATATAACAAGTAAATGTCATCCTAATGAGAATATAATAAAAGTATGCATTTCTGTGCAAAGATGCTCCTCAGAATTGCTTCACAAACATAAATAAGAAATTATAAACATGATATTAAAAAACAGCATCATTATTCCTGTTCATACTGCTGTGTGTTTTTCATCCTGGTTCATTATAAAATGTGTTGGACCCTCACTGTGAATCAGTACAGATGGACATTCACGCAGACATAAACACAAACATACTGTGTGTACATATATCGATGCACTCTACATATGCAGTATGAATATTCATACAGCACGCACTGTACAGCAGCAGACAGTAAATGAAAATGTCTCCACACTCTCTGTGCTGTCTTTCTGAGCTCAAACAGCATTATCCTTATATTTTCCATCGCAGTCCCCACCGCCTTCTCCTGCTACTACAGCAAATGCCCTCTTCAAATCAGGTTTAAGCTGCCTTATCAGAATGCAACTGCGTCAGTTATATGGAAACCTTACAATTTGTGAGATGAGAATAATGCAGACCCACCTCTAATTACCTTAAAAGCAATGGAAGAAGCACTCTGCATTACAACGTGAGCAGTAGATGAAAAATGGGATCATGGTGGATTCTACATGATCCTCCTTGATCCCATTGCTTTCTTAAAGCTGTGCAAAGAAATTAAGAGAACAACAAATTCCTGTTTTACCATTAAAGCAATTTAACGAACAGTGCTGGAGTGCAGGTTATGCAGAGGTATATGACGTATATCTACTTCTTCTACTTCTGCCCATTTCTAAATCCACTCTGATGCTCATCATTAAGTAGTGTTCTGCGAGCTGTATGTTTTTCCTAGGATGGCGAAGGCATGACATAGTTGTCCAATTTTCATGAGTGGGTGGAGTAAGAAATAAGTAATACTTTACTCAAAATGCACAATTCATGTTATTTCAGCCGGCTGTGGGCCAGTATCGATTGTAATATCTGCACCTCTTCAGTGTCTCATGTTAAGTTCATAACGATCCTTACTCCCTGAAGTCAAGCAGCAGATGATTAGTGACAATATGCAAGAGTAGTCTTAGATGTCACTGTTTATAACACAGAATGTTTTCTTTGCTGGACAGGCCACATAAAATAAATAAATAACTGGGGCAGAAAAAAAACAACCTGTACCCAGTTCTCTTGGCACCACTACACCACACTAACCATACAGTTCCATAGCCTGCCCATAACAGACCACGGACCTCTGACCACTGCAGCAGTGAAAGGTCTCTGACAGATGGAATCATATTGATACTGTGTTTAGTTGACAACAGCTGGTTATTATTTTTTCCTTGTTGATCCCTTTGTGATCCATGTAAAATTCCCAGAAACGCAGCAGCAAGTCACAGCATTGTTGACCGTATACCCATTATACATTATACTATGAAGACACTTTGATTCTGGTACCTACAGTGCATCCGGAAAGTATTCACAGTGCTTCACTTTTCCCCCATTTTTTATGTTAAAGCCTTATTCCAAAATGGATTAAATTCTTTTTATCCTCAAAATTCTACACACAATACCCCATAATGACAACATAAAAGTAGTTTTAAAATTCTTGCAAATTTATTAAAAATAAAGAACAAAAGTATAACATGAACATAAGTATTCACAGCCTTTGCTCAATACTTTGTTGAAGCACCTTTGGTAGCAATTTTCAGCCTCAAGTCTTTTTGAGTACGATGCTACAAGCGTGGCACAACTATTTTGGGGCAGTTTCTCCCATTCTTCTTTGCAGGACCTCTCAAGCTCAACACCCATTTTCAGATCTCTCCAGAGATGTTCAAATCGGGTTCAAGTCTGGGCTCTGGCTGGGCCACCCAAGGACATCCACAGAGTTGTCCTGAAGCCAGTCCTTCAATATCTTGGCTGTGTGCTTAGGGTCGTTGTCCTTTTAGAAGATGAACCTTCGCCCCAGTCTGAGGTTCAGAGCTCCTGGAGCAGGTTTTCATCAAGGATGTCTCTTTACATTGCTGCATTCATCTGTCCCTCAACCCTGACTAGTCTCCCAGTTCCTGCTGCTGAAAACCCTCCCCACAGCATGATGCTGTCACCACCATGCTTCACTGTAGGGATGGTATTGGCCAGGTGATGAGCGGTGCCTGGTTTCCTCCAGACATGACGCTTGGCATTCAGGCCAAAGAGTTCGATCTTTGTCTCATCAGACCAGATAATTTTGTTTTCCATGGTCTGAGAGTCCTTCAGGTGCCTTTTGGCAAACTCCAGGTGGGCTGTCATGTGCCTTTTTACTGAAGAGTGGCTTCTGTCTGTCCACTGTACCATACAGGCCTGATTGGTGGAGTGCTGCAGAAATGGTTGTCCTTCTGGATGGTTCTCCTCTCTCCACAGAGGAACCCTGGAGCTCTGTCAGAGTGACCATCAGGTTCTTGGTCACCTCCCTGACTAAAGCCCTTCTCCCCTGATCGATCAGTTTGGCCGGGCGGCCAGCTCTAGGAAGAGTCCTGGTGGTTCCAAACTTTTTCCATTTACGGATGATGGAGGCCACTGTGCTCATTGGGACCTTTAAAGCTGCAGAAATGTTTCTGTACCCTTCCCCAGATCTGTGCCTCGATACAATCCTGTCTCGGAGCTCTACAGACAATTCCTTGGACTTCATGGCTTGATTAGTGCTCCAACATACACTGTTAACTGTGGGACCTTATATAGACAGGTGTGTGCCTTTCCAAATCATGTCCAATCAACTGAATTTACCTACGGTGGACTCCAATCAAGTTGTAGAAACATGAAGAGGATGATCAGTGGAAACAGGATGCACCTGAGCTCAGTGTTGAGTGTCATGTCAAAGGCTGTGAATACGCATGTACATGTGATTTGTTTTTATTTTTAATAAATTTGCAAAAATTTCAAAAAATGTAATCCCTTTAGAATAAGGCTGTAATATAACAAAATGTGAAAAAAGTGAAGCACCGTGAATACTTTCCGGATGCACTGTACATGGACATGCACACACAGGACTTACCCCAGGAGGCTCCTGGCCTACTTTGGCCCCACTGGTGCCCAGCAGGGTCCTGCTGGAGCTGGTAGAGCCATGGATTTCCAACTTCCACATGGGTCTGTCCCACCCAGAGGAAAGCACCACCTGGAAACATGGATGGAATTTGATTGGATGTGGGAAGGTGATTTTAAAGTACTTTTTCAAGGACGAGAAGACTGTATTGTAGTTACAACACAAGTCTTTAATCTACCCCTTCCTATGCTGTGATTGGTCCCAGCCTTACCTGGCGGGCATAGAGCAGCAGGCAGAATAACACCAGTAGCAGCATTGTGCACATCACATCTCCCTTCACATGGAGGATCCTCCTCATGGTCACCATCTTCCTCAGCGTCTTCTGAAGACGCTGGCGTCAGTTAAGTATTGAACAGAAATGCGTTGGAAAGGGGCCACTGCAATTCATACTGCTTTTCAGACAGCAGCCGAGACCAATTCACACGTTGACCAGATTTGGGTTTGCAGGCTGCGGATGAAGAAACGTGGTGATTTTCCTTCCTCCTCTCTGCTGCATTGAAAAAATAGTGATGTAGTGTTGTACTCACTTGTTCACTAAAGGTCTGAAAAGTTGCTGTGGAGGTGGGTGTGGTTTGCACTCAGCTGCAGGAGAGAAGGATTGTGAGAGCAGCACCAGGTGAGTTGATGATCTCAGCTGGTACTCATGGAGTAATCACTCTACCCTTTATGTTGCAGTAGTGTGCTGGACCCGTGAGACACAGGAAACCTTCATGGATTCTGGAAGTGAGCTCAGCTGTCTCAATAGTGTGTGTGGCTGACAATAGTAATAACGTTGTCTTGCTTGTTAATCTCTGTTGTGGTCTGTGTGCTGAGTGAACCCTTGGAAGTAGCGAGACGTGCTACAGTTGCGTTGAGAGAAAAGCAGCTTATGGTGATTTGGCCCTGTAGATATCAGTCATATCACTGGATGTATGTCCCTCCCGTCTGCCCCCATCTTCTCCTTCGCCTCAGGCACCAATGGGTGGGGACATCCTGAACAGAACCAACAATTAGGGACAAACTGGAACAACACAACAGGCAAGAAATAACAGAGAATGTGATATGAAAGAGAGTGGAAAACAAAATTCACATAGATTTTGCTGTTGCAAATAGGATATTATTACTTTTCCCTTCTTTCATTCCTTTGCTTTGCTCAGGAAAACTATCCTGGACGTCTGTGCTGATTGTGAAACCCTTTCTCATCTTGTCTAATGCAATAAAACGATTTTCCGTCCGGCATAAATCAATTCAGCTGATTCTTCTTGAAATATGTTCCCGTGGGAAAAAAACAAAGATAATATGATGTAGTGTAGAGACCAACAGACACAGCCAACCATCTACTTTTCCCTCCATTTTATCACTGTGCTGTTTCCTTCTCAGCAGCATGATTCAGGTCATTTGGAAGTCACAAGATGTCTTGACGTCTTTGTTAGAACTGGATAAATTAGGTTGAATGGTGAGTTTTGAACATAGTTAGGACCTGCTTTGCAGTGTTGGGGAAGCTTTGCAAGCTACCAACAGACCTTTTTCACAGCAGCCATTTTGACATGAAATAGGGTAAACACAGGGGTTACCAGTGATTCTAATTATTGTTCTGTTAGTGCCACTAATTAGAAAAATTCTACTAATAATGTTTCATAGGTGAGCTGATTTTTAAAAAGCAATGGTCATTTATTTTTTCATTTTTTTATCATTACTTTCCTATTATGGCCCAGAGTTATGTGTATTTTCACTAGTTAACTACAATGGCAAAAGAGTACTTAAACTACCTGAGTCACTATGCAATTGAACTACCTGCAAGCTACTGCACAGTGTCGTTACTACAAACTACAACTTTAATCCAAGATGTTATCATCTATTGCTGATAATCACTAATATGCATCGTTATCTTGATAACAAATTTCATTTCTTCATAACTGCTCTCAGGAGGGGGAGGGCCTGTGTCTTATGTAAGTCAACATCAACTATTTCAGAGAACACAGTGTCCCAACGCTCATGTCATTAGCAGGCATCACTAAATAATGCTGACACAGAAGATTCCCAGTGTATAAGTGACTGATCACAGCTATCCGAGTCTGTCAGAGAGCGCACATTCCAGACAAGCGTGACCAACACCGCCGCAAACTTCTTCTGGCGCACATTTACACAGAAAGTGTCATTTTCTTCTCAACAGATACACTGCGCATGTTTCACGGTATGGACAACAAGCCTGTCTGCTTTTATAATCACACAATACCTATAAGCTGTTAAAAAGTCATTCAAACTTACCAGACGTGTGGAAGGAGGAGGTCAAACTGAAAACATCTGTCTGAAAGTGCAACACGGACTCAAAGTGATTTCTAAAGTTTCCAAAGATCCAGTGAGGAGAGAGCAGTCCAGATGCTGCATTCATGGGTGTGTGTGTGTGTGTGTGTGTGTGTGTGTGTGTGTGTGAGTAGGTGAGGAAGGACAGAGGATATCTGTATCTGTCTGTTAAGTTGGCGCTGAGCCCGCCTGCAGAGCTGCTGCGCTCATGGTTGCCTTCAAGTGCGGTAGGAAATATCGAAATCTGCATCATCAACGAAACCAATCAAAGGTTTCTAATTTAATAAAGTTCACAAAATAAGTAGCCTAACGCTGCTTGTCGTCGGCTTTAGGTTTCACGTCTCTGTAGCCTACGAAAGGCGAGAAAGGTATACAATAAGTGTTACAATCAGCCAACACCGTATGATTATGAGTGGGTCTATACATGGGAGTTTATCACAGCACAGAATAGCAGAAATGTACATTTAAATGAATAGAGACCATCATTTTAACTATAAAAGTGCTTTCCTTATAAAACGTTTAAAATACCTATTGTTTATAATTTTTCTTTAGTCTATCGATCCAAATAATATATGAGGGTTTTTGAGCAAGTGAGCGAACCAGGAGGACTTGAACGAAGCATCTTCAGCCTTCAGTCTGACCACGTGACTTAAACTGGAGCGGAGCAACTTCAAGCCAGATGCCAACACAGCAACTGAGGAGGATGGAGGGGAAAGAAAGAAAAGAGAAGAAGAAATAAAATGGGAGAGTGTGGAATTAAAGTTCCAGTTGTCTTTGTCTTGTTCGTCTCCACAACACTGTGAAACCAGATACGCTGATTTAACTAAAAAAAACTGTTGTAACGTATTACATTGAAAACTTTAGGTAAAACTAAACTCAATTAGTTAAAAAAAAAAACATTATTGATCAAGTAGCTTTAGTCATTTTAAGTAATGCTGACTTGATTTTGTCATTTCCGTTTGTACTGTGAAACAAACCCAGTGAAACTATAACTTACACAATTGAGTTTGTGTTACTTAAAACTTTCCATGTAATCCATTTTAACAAATGTTTTTGAGTTCAAATAACTTATCGCATTAGTTAGAGAGTCAGAGATGAAGGCCAGCTACATAATCCACAGAGGCGGAGGAGAGGAAGATGGAAATTAAAAAGGAAGAAGAGGAGGGGAGAACACAATGTAATGACTTACAACTGCTTTGTAAGTGGCTCTCCCTGTTTAAAATGTTGTCCTTGGCTTTATTCGTACATATTGAACTGATCGTAATAAAATATATTTATTCAACCTCAGTCAAATGAGTCTATTTCTCTAATATTTCTGAGCAGTTTAAGCAGCACACAGGGAGCACACACATGCAGAGACACAGAGTGCAGCAGTAACAGTAATTTATGACTGCAGACTGCACCATATGTAGCACCTATAGAGCAGAGCATGTAAGCCAACATGTGTGTTTCCAATCAGAACCATACTGGGTGTTTCTGTCCTTGCAACCTGCTGGATATACAGGGTATAGCTCAACTGCATACATAGAAACACTCAAAAAATAACATGCAGCATAGCCTACATGATGTATGGCAGATGTATATCCAAAAACTGGAAAGATTTTGCAGCTGGGTCACTTTTTTTCAGGCTCATGCTGTGCAGCCAAATGTTCAAACCTGCAGTAGAGGCTATAGCTTTTCCAAGTGTCCTGCAATGACAAATATGTCAGCCTGAACTTAGTGGAAATGTGCATACAATTATGTATTATGCATACATTTGGAACAAGCTGATGCTGAATGTATACGATATGACACTGCCAGACAGTGGGGAATAAGATGGTTAGCTTAAAGTTAACACTGATTAAATATATAATAATTAATAATTATTTTCACTGTGATGTGCTGCTATCCTCAAGAGGAGACTACTCACTCTTACAACATCAGATACTCCAGCTGCAGTTCAGGTGCTCAGTGGCTGCCACTATAAAGCAGCTGTGAGTGGTGGGTAACATCACTCTGATAAATACATATTGGGGAAACTTGGCTGTAAGTGCTTATCATATGTTCTGCAGTTTGAAAGACACATTAGATGAAATATATCCAGTATGAGTAAAGGAGACTAAAACTTCTCCTCTGTTTAGAAGAGGGCTGGACTCACTGTTTTTACACACTAATTCTAGCTTCCATATTCAAATCCAACCAGAGGTACACTCAGAATAAACAGTAGAGCAAGCCAGCTCCTCTCATAAGAGCAACATTCACACGTGATACTAGAACAAAGTCAACAGGGTTACACAAGCTTTTAAAACATAAGTTAATTTAATAATAGTTTATCTGTCACAAACACAAAATTACATTTAAAATCTCTGTGTACAATCTACAAAAGGTAAACAAGATAAAACACACAGCATTGGTCCTCAGTGACATTCATTCATTTACAATAGTTTTCTTTGGCTACAAACACCACGCAAAACACACAACAGCTGGGAGCAGAGACGAGAGTGTGAGCGAACTGAACACAGAACAATCGGGGCCACCAGTGACTTCAATGGCACGGCTCTCGGTCTGAGAGGGAGCTGCTCCCTGTCTCGCTCCAGCTGTGCTCTCTCTAAACATCGCTGTGTCAGCTGAATTAAACAGTCCGGGTGCCGATCCAGGAGATTTTCTACAAACCCTTGTTTCTTTGTGGAAGCAAACGTTGAAACATTTCTTCGACAAAGTCACCTGGAACAACTCTAGTGTGTTTGACGGATATTAGGCATAACTGTTTACTGATGCTGCCTGACAGTATGTATGAGCATGTAACTGAAGAAAAAGACGTTTTGACCCTTCCTAAGTCCCACCCCTTTTCGCTCTGTGCTCCAATAACAGTTGAGCAACCCTCAGTCAAATTTCTCCTTTTCTGTAGTTAGATAGGCTACGTGCTAAGCTCGTCTATGTTGAAAAAGACAACCCAATTCTGAAGATTGTTTAAATATAAACATTTATATATGCGACATGATGATACCTACCCATCAATCAAAATTAGCAAGCTAGTTAGCTATTTTTTGCTAACATTAGCATTCATATATAACTAGCTAGCAAACGACTGACGTAGATTGGCTAGCTATTTAGCTGGAAGTTTGTTACCGTTAGCTAGCAAACTTAAAATGTAATTATATACTGTATATATGTCGTTTTTATCTTTTAACCATTTTCAAAATGTGGTTATCTTTTCAACACAGACTAGCCTAGCACATAGCATATCTGAGAACAGGAAAGGAGAAAGCTGACTGAGGTTCTGACCGAAGCTTGCTCGACTGCTATTGGAACACAGGGCAAAAAGGGGCAGGGCTTAAGTTGGGTCAGCAATAGGTTGAGCCTTTCAGTTAAATGAATCAACATGACTTTCTCTACAACATCACTGTACTCAGTTCGGGGAAAGCCTCCAGTCCCCGTTTTGGTCTAGCTGAAGTCTCTAAACTGATGGATCACTCGTGCCGGCTGACTCCTACGCTCATTTGGACAATTATTTAGCTGAGCTGTAACTGCACTAAATCAAGCTCTACCAAACTGAGATGGATGACAACTCTACCAGTGCACTAAGCCTGTGGTCAGCATCTTATTTCTGTGAGCTAGCAGGATTTTCAAAGACAGTCAAAGTGTTATGGAGCTGGTGCCAAATGTTGCTTATTCCTAAATCATGGGGAAAAAATAAGATTAAGGCTACGACAGCGTCCGCATTCCGCAGTCTGAAGTGTCCCAGGCTCGCCATTTATCAGGCATGCTTGAAATAGATGAAGTCCGACATTACAGTGCTGATCGTTTGTGCTTGTGATCATTCTTCCTCTTCGATCTTCCATCTATATGCCCGTTCCTGCATTCCCCCCCTCCTTCTGCCCTCAGGAGGATGCAGTGCCAGCTCTCATGACCCTGAAGAGCGCGTTGACGTTATTGCTCTTGATGGCGTCTCGACAGGCGGAGATCACTTGGTTCTTGGGCTTACCCACTGAAGAGGAGGAGGAACAGCAAGAGACAAGATTCAGTTGAGGGGACAAGACAGGTATGCAAGATGTAACAACACATGAAGGTTGAGCCATATGCCTGTCAGCTTCTGTTCACATTCATATTCTTATTTTCTTCTTAAAGATCTCCCTACATACTTATTATTGCTTAATACATATTAATAGTGGGTTTTTAAATGCTTGCATCACTGCAATGGAAAAATACTGTTTAAACCAGTGAATGTGTTGTGACTGAAATGTGAAATGTGCTTGTCAATAGATGCTGTTAAGGTTCCCAGGTAATGTTTTGAGGCTCAATGTTTTTAACCAGAAGTTGTGCCAGCGACAGTTCAGAGCCAGATCTGGAGAAGAAAACAAAAGTATTGGCCACCGGATTAAGTAAGCACTTAGCAACAATTATCCACCAACACCAGGCTGGCTTTATTCCGGGCAGGCTTTCCTTTTTCAATGAGCATCACTTGGTAAATATATTGTATTCTAACTGGGGTAAAAACACTCGAGCAGTACGTCACGACATTGGACACCCAGAAAGCTTCTGAGTGTACTGAATGGCCTTATTTATTTGAAACTGTGAGGAGGTTTGGATGTGGAAGACTTTTGTAGACTCAACTGAAATTATTTACTAAATCCTCTATCATAACAAATAATACTTAGTCAAAGCAATTTAGTCTGTATCAGGGTGTAAGGAAGGGAGATTGTCCCGTTTGTTATTTAGTATAGCACTAAAACACTCAGATTATTCCATATTCCAGCTGGTGCATCAGAGTGTCTCTTTGATGATTTAGTTGTTATGTTAATGAATCCAGAAGTGGGTATGCCTTATCTTTTACAATATATTAAATAATACAATTATTTATTTTAATAAAATAAAAATACAATCTTACAGGATTGCCATGTTAAGGTTGTTCATAGTTATATCACATATTTAGGACTTAAAATATCAAAATTCTAAACTTTTGCACAAATTAGATTTGTGAGAAGGTTCTGATAATTGAAACACAGTGTAGAATACTGGAGGAGCTTCTCATGATTGCAAAAATAGGTGTCATTAATATGGTACCTCTACCAAAATTTTTTGATCTCTTTCAAAAACTGGCTGATATTGAAAAAGAGCTTGTGTCTTTGATAAAACCTTATGGCTCACTGTCGGCTACTGAATCAGTAAGTTATTAGTAATCGGAGTTC